AATAAATGTTATGAGAAACCAAATAAATGTTATGAGAAACCAAATAAATGTTATGAGAAACCAAATAAATGTTATGAGAAACCAAATAAATGTTATGAGAAACCAAATAAATTTTAACCATATATTAAATAAAAGGAAGTAAATATTTATGAAATTTTTTTTTGTTTCAGTGGCAAAAAGAATTAAATATTTATTAAAAATTTTCAATAAAGAATGTTTTTTCCATCAAATATGAATAAACTGTATGATTTTTGATTTCTGAGTCTAATAAGAACATTTAAATATTTAGCTTTTTGTTTTAGTTTTAAACACACAAGTTAAGTTTTTAAAAATTGAAATATTTTTTGAATAAGTAATAGGTTTCTATTCGAGAAATAGAATTGAGCGATTGCTCGGTTATTTGAGAAAAATTTTATTATTATTTTAAAATTATGACATGTTGAAAATTAACTAAAAAAAAAACACGAATAAAAGAGTAAAGGAAAATAATATTTTATATAATAAAATAACAAATGAAAATTTTTATACTTATATAAATGTTTTATATTTTTATATAAAAGATTAAATTATTTTTGAAAGTAGATTTTAACTTAATTTTTTTATAAGAAAAAATTGATTTAGTAACAAAGAACGTAACCTCTCTCTGAATTGTATAAATTTTTTTTTTTTATATATAATTCTCTGCCAAAAAACATATAGTAGTATTCTGTATATAATAAATTGTATATAATGTGCCCTGTGAGACATTTATGCGCTTTTAACATGGATAAAAACTAGTTGCTCAGAAACGTCTATAAATTTTATTTAATTTGAAAGACAAACTCAAAATATGAAAAATAAAAGTTAAAAAATCTTATTGTGTTATTACAAGTACTGAACGCAAGTTTAAAATTTTGGCAACATAAAAAAAAAGACTTTGTAATATGCGTTGACACATTAAAACTGTTTCAATGAAAAAAATAATTTTAAAAGGTATAGAATGACTTGCTGACATATTTAAAAGGTATAGAATGTCGTGTTGATTTATAAAGTATTAAAACTACTTAACAATTACATTTAAGACAAAAAAATAATTTTAATAAATCTGCAGGGTTTAGTTTTTTCTTAAATCTCCTTATTAAAGCACCAAGTTTAATAAATTGATGACAAGGGTAGTCGAATGCCCATATAACCTTGAAGAAACTTCAAACCTCTGCTAGCGTCTCAGAAAGAACACATGCGTTGATAAGACCTTAAAATATAAGGTTACTAATAACTAAATGACATAAATCTATATTTGCAAAAAATGTTGGCACAACATTTTTTGCAAGTATAGGTTTTATATCATTTGGTTACAAATGCAATATTGGTAACAAAGAAAAACCAGACGTACCACAAATATTTGCTATAAGTTGGCGAAGTATGCTATATTATGTTAATTTAGGTTTTGTTTTTATGTTGACATAAAATTGTATTTAAAGTTTGGTGAACTAAAATAATGCAATATTTTGTTATTTTTATCTGATTCTACGGTATGCGGTAACTTTACAAATATGTTTTATATCATTTTGAAAATTATCCCCCTAAAACCTTATGTAGTATTTGTTATATGTCTAACATTTTGAACTGAGTAGGAGAAGGAGTATGAAAGGGGTGAGAGAACTCTATGAAAGTTAATTTTTTTATAGTAGAGACCAAGAATCACGACTGCTTAGAGACCAAAAATAATTTTTTTTGGTCACTTTTGACAAATTTAACATGTGAAAGCCTCATTTACTAAGTTGGTTAATGTATTTTTTCAACACATAGTTTACCATTTCCGTTTTTTAGATTGTTCTCTGAGTTTAAATTTTATTTTCACAAAAATAGGGATATTATAGGGATACTAAAACAAACTTGTAAAGTAAAATTATTTAAAAAAAAAATATTTGTTCGCAAAATTGATTTTCTACATTTCGTTAAAAAATGATTCTTTACTATCACGTTGCATTGTGATCAAAATAAATTAGCCAGACGTTTGTTTAATAATTACTTAAGATTAAAAAAATGTCAGTAGAATAAAAATTTTTAATACTATTTCATTACAATCTCTATTTTGTTCTATCCTATTTTATCAATTTACAATTTAATTCATAAATCTTAATTCTTATTTTATTTCGCTGGAATTTGCCATCCTTGAATCATGTAAAGAAAAATTGTGAAAGATTAGAGGTTACGTTTCTCATTTATATTGGTTTCTTACACTTTCGTAAGAACATCTTTAATTGTTCCTTTGTATTAGTAAAAACACTTATAACAGCCTAACTTATTTTTGTAAAATTTTTTGTTTGACGCTTTTTTAAAAATTTTTTTGCTTGACGTTTCATTTAAAATACACTTCAAATATTTTATTAAGCTTTAACTTTACCTCCATAAAAAACAGGTATTTAAACTATTTTTATAGGTTAAATATGCACATAGTAAATACATTCAAACATCAGGTTAGTTTATTTTTTATTATTAAAAATTTTTACAGCTGTTTTTCTTAGTTCCTTTGTGTGTAAGTTTACTCACCATGCACATACATTTTTGAAATAATTTTTTTTATACATATTTTTTGAGCTTTTCTTATTTTTATTTGAATTTATTAATTTTTGCTTATTTTCATAGTCTCATAATCATAAAACTGGTTCCCTAAGATTTTATGATATTATTTAAAAAGTTTTAGCATTCTCATAATTTTTTTAAGGATAATTCTAAAAAAAAATTAAAAGAAGAATCTGCTTCCATTAACGAATTGTGTTCTGTATATAAAGTTAATACAAAACGTCAAAAATTTGCTTTTAAATATTGTACTCAGAAGTTGTTAAGACCGTCGAATATTTGACATAAATTTTGAATGACAGCATCATTTTAATTTTCAGAACACATTTAGAGAGAACACCCAATAAATGTGTTTTGTAGTGTTTAAGTATTTATTATGCACCTCAAATAAAGTAGTTTAAAGAAAAATAATTAAAAAATCTACATCCACCAGATTGAGACTAAGATTGACTATTTTTAATGCTATTTGTAGCTTTTTAATGGAGCTTTTGTACCTTTTTGTAGCTTTTTAAAGTTTTTATAAGCTAAGGTGCAAAGTAAATAATGAAACAAGATAAATGGCGTTTTTTTAATTGTTTTTTTATATTTTATGTCAATTTTTTTTTTCATATTTTATTTATATTTTATTATATTTCATATTTGTTTTCATATTTTATGCAAATTTATTTTCTTTTATACAAAAAAAATTCGTTAAAAAAAAAAAAATAATAATCAAAACAAATAACAAGTTCAATAAACTATATATAAAAATAACATGCGCCAAAAAAGTTGTTTTATACATTAACAACAGTAGAGTGACCAGAATAGAATCATTAATGCACCAGAGTCTGACTTTGCATGAAACGTATATGCAAATTGTGGTCAGCAAGGTAACTTTAATCAAACAAAATGTTTTTTTTGATGTATTATAATTTTATTTTTTTTAAAGAAAAGAGTTTCTTTTTTTAAAAAAAGTGAGAAAATATTGAATAACAAATCTAATGATCATTCTTAAATAGAAAAGTTTATGGAATATCTATCAAATCCAACAAATGAGGAAGAAGTTGACTTTTCTATATCAGCGTTAGCAATTAACAAATCTCCACTTTTAAATTTTGATCATACATATGTCATTTTTATTACATCAGTAACTACTTTAGTTTCTGTTAATATTAATAATAAAGATAGTGTCATTTCTTATACACCAGCAACTAATTTAGTTTCTGGTAATATTAATAACCAAGATAACGTCACGAGAAAAAAAGTAATAGGAGGTTTAGATATCTATCAAAATTTTCCATTTCAAAATCATTCGTTTCCAGGAGATCCAGATTCTGATGTTTTACCTTATCCAACACAAATCAAAAAAACAAAAACAGAATTAAAACAAAAATATTTTTTGCTAACATCGAAAGAAGCTATGGAGTACAAACACGCAGAAGTTAAAAATAAGTTACTCCATGAAAAAAAGAAAAGAGAAAATATTAATTAAAAAAAGAAAAAGCATGAAGAAAAATTACTCCGAGAACAAAAAAAAAAAAAAACACAAAGTGAAAAAAAATATTTATAATTGCAAAAGAAATAAAGATAAACATTTTCTTTTTAATCATTATTCGTTTTTATTTTGCTTTATTTTGTTTTAACTATTCGTTGGCCAGATTTTGGTCAGTTTGCCCTAATCATCAAGTGTCAGTCAATTTAGATCTAAGAGACAAAAGTTAAGTTTTGGAAAACATGATTCCGTTGATTTGATAAATTGTAATGTTTAAATTTGTTATTTAGAAGGTTAAAATTTGTTAGTAACTTAAAATAGGTCACTCTAAAGAAGATTTTCAGTTAATCGTAGTAAATTCTAATTCCCCTATAAGGTTCGAATAACCGGGAGTTTACTGTATATTAAAATGTATAAAAATATAACGACACCCTTAATAAAAATTTGTTTAATATAAAATTGATATTATTTTTTTATATTATTATGATATTATTTTATTTTACTATTATATTAAGAGGCACGAAGATAAGAGAGCAGTAAATTGATTCAATCCTAAGTTTAATACAGAAGACCATGAAAATCATTAAAACAGAAGACCATGAAAATCATTAAAATAGAAGACCATGAAAATCATTAAAACAGAAGACTATGAAAATCATTAAAACAGAAGACCATGAAAATCATTAAAACAGAAGACCATGAAAATCATTAAAACAGAAGACCATAAAAATTAAAGTCAAAAAGACAATAGTTATATAATAACATTTATAGTCTATAACTAAAAAAAATCAACAAAATTCTAATTTCAAAAATCTGCTACATAAAGGAAACAAAATGATTATTCGGGCGGTATTAATTATTTTAATTAGCAGATAATTATGAATGCCGGTAAATATTGTACTAAAGTATTAATGTTAAATAAATTATTACAAATAATATAACTTACAAAATAAAATAAATCAAATCATTCAAATATTGTTCCGTTAGGAGATTTATTGCAATGTATACAATGTATAAAACGTTTTCATTTCGTTACATTTCTTTTAGATCCAAGCTTTAAGGCAAGTTTCCACTCATCCGTTTTTTTACGGGAATGGGAAAGGGACGGTAAAAATAATCACGCGGGCATGCGTAGTATAAGTTTTAATATATCTGAAGGAAAACTACGTACGCTCACGTGATTAATGTTCCCTTTCCTATCCCGTTCCCGTCAAAAAACGGATGAGTGGAAACTCACCTCTAGTCGGAATAAACTACGATTAAAAGCGCCATTCAAAAAATAAAATGTTTTCGAATCGTTACATATTTTCAAAAAACGATTTTTGTAGAATTTGGCCGAGATTAACTACGATTAAAAGCGTCAACCAAAAAATCATTTAGAGTATCCATTTCACTATTTGTACCCATGAATCGCCTGTCAGCTTTCGGAAAAAAAGTCCTTCAGTGTTACCTAAATGTTCAACAAAATTACAGAAAAACGAAATTAAAATAAACAGTATTCAATCGAAGAAGAATTTATGGATATTATAAATATTATTTACAACATCATAAATAATATTATTTAGGTTCTTTACCTAACCATTGATATGTCCCAAGAGTATAAGTTTGTTCATAATCACCTTCCAAATTTTTAACATATGTTGAATCAAGATAGCTGGAAACCCTAACTAAAAATTGCTGATTGGTTATGGCCAACCATTTGTTGTAGTACTTATGGAACACCAAATACATTTTTCTATTCCTATGAACCGCATAAAGTTCTCTTGTTACGGAGTGACGACCGAGAACGGAACCAATTCGAATATCCATGGCTAAAATTAGATTTAGCGATGAAATTTCAAATATCAATTAAAGTTTTCTTTCTGTATAATATTTTCATATTTCATCATTTTAATTTACTGTAATTAGCTTTAAATAATATAAAAGCAACATAAATCGAATTGAAAATCAAAAATGAGAGGTCCAAGATTCAATGCCAGCTCTAGGCATATTTTTATCATTGGTTAGTAAGAAAGCATAAACTTCTTAGTTAAGAGCTCTTCACCGGAGCTCTGTGGCAAAACTGTTAGGTCTTTTTGTAGCACCTTAATAACCAGATTAAAAAAATAAACGCAAAATCTCTTTTTAAAAAAGCTTTAAAGATACAATAAACTATTTTTAAATGATGAGAAAGGATTTAATTTGTACGATTTTTTTTTAAATGAATTTACTCATAACACGGTTGAAATAGAAAGCAAAGAAGAAAAAAAAGGAGAGTTGATAAAAAAAACTGTACACTGCACAAGTCAACAAAACTTGATGACGAAAGAGAATTCCAAAGTATCAATGTTTGAAGATAAAAATATAAGTTTTTTGAGTCGGAGGGAACAATTAAATTAAAAAACTAATTTTGGTTAATGGAACAAGTAATGATAACTGCTTAACCAGCGAACATGGTAGTATATGTAGAAAACAAGACAGCTTAAGGTGATTGGACTGAGTCTTAAGTTTTTCCGCTATTTATTTTTTATTAAAACTATATTTATACAGGATAAACACTTTCAGTTATACGAACTGTTATCAACATGTGTTCTGTTAAAACATAGAACTTTTATATAAAAATAACAAAAAGTGTAAAAATTAGTAAAATTAATGCTGCTTAAAAAAAAGTGAATATTAAATATATATCTATGAAATGTTCAGGATTTTTAATGTCTAATGATAACTCGTTGAAAAGTTCCTGCAAAGAAAAAAGATTTTTTTGTCATTTCGGGTTTCATTTGCGGAATTCTCAACAAAAAGCCTTGTCTGATACATATCTTATGTTGAATGGCTTCGAAGAAATTAGCGAAAATTTCAAAAAGCTCATTATTAAAAGAGTAGGTCCAACAACACTTACAATGCAATTTTTGACCTAGTCTGGAAAAGAGAAAGCCTCATTAGAAAAAATAGCCAAAAAATGGCAACAGTATACCATACAACAACAGATAAGAGATTTATAGAGGTAAAAAAATGAAATCAGTTGTTAAAAAATAGCAAACACAATAAGGATAAGCAACTGTAGCTAATCCTAAGGTTGTAACATGTTTACTGTAACTGTTCCTACAGGCTCAAAAACTATACCTCAATGATTTTTAATTATAAAATTTTAATAAAATCATTACTCATTAACACCAAATAAATAAACATTTTTTATCAGCTTTGTGTTCAGCATTAAGTTGAGACTTTCTGAAATAAACAAATTTTAATTTCTGTTTGTCAAAATGTAACTTTTTTGAATAGATAAAAATGAAATGCGTTCACAAGAAGAAACAGATACAAATTTGAAGGAGTAACATGCAAGCACGAGTTAAAACATGATGGAGCACGAGTTGAAATATGTTTAAAAAGATGATAACTATAATGAACATTTCATTTTTCAACAAGAAATTTAAAAACAGTTTTACTGGTATTATTTAATATTCTACATTCAATGGTATATTAACTGTATTTATTTAACTATCTTCTAAAACAAAAAATTTAAAGAAATTTCTCATAATAAAATTGAAATTAAAAAAATTGATGAAGCTATTGATACTTGCATTCTTAGCCTTAAATAAGTTATATATAATAAAAATTAAAGTCACCTGTCCATAAATATCCTTCATCATCCGAGAAATAACAAACAGGTTTTGTACTAAAGTAAATTGTAAATATTTAATGAGGTGTTCATTGAACGGAATGACATAAAACAAAACTTGTGTTGTATTGTATTGTATATTTTAGTAATTAAAAGTAAACTAATTTTAAGAATTAAAATAAAATTATTGAATCAAGAACTTTTGCTATAAAGTCTGTTTATAAATCGATGAACTAGATTATTGGCAAAATAAGGTCGTGAAAGATCATTCTTTTCTGACAAAAATTTAAAGCTGAATTTTGTTATAAAATATTTAACCTGTAATATTAAAGCTTCAGGGTTGGCTAACTAAGTTACATAAGTCATAAAGTCATACTTTTTGACTTTGCTGTTATAGAGTTTAAATAATCTTTGTTTGGAGTAAAAGTAAAAAATAAAGTAAAAGTAAATCAATTGAAATAAAAACTACTAGTAGTAATTGAAATAAAGAAATTAGTTGCTATCTAAAAAGTGATTAACTTGACAGCAATACAAGATTTAACTAAAAAACTAGTTTTTGTCAAAACCTTTTTATTTAGTACTACGACAATTTTGTAACTTTTTTTTTTTAACAACACTCAGAATTTAAACTAAACTACATTTAACTTTAAATATAAATAACCTTTAGGTATTTTTTTATAAATAAAAATTTAAATTAATAATACTATACCTAGGGTAATGTTGACTCATACATACATATATATGACTTTTATATGCATCCCAATATATTCCTCGCCCATAACTTCCTATATATTAAAACAAACAAATAAGTTTTAAAAAAAAGGATCCTAAAATATTGGAACGAATTTAACAGTAATCAAAAAACAATTATATTTATATATAAAAAACCTTTGAGAAATTGTTGATTTGGACTGATTGGTATTTTTGGATTGTTGAAACATTCAACTTGCTTTTGAAATGTTCTAGCTATTCTCTCACGTTTTTCTGTTTCAACATGGAGTGACAACATCAACGGAATTTCTAATATAAATACTCCAGATATTGGACACAACGAGTTATTATAAATTGCAGTAAAAATGTAATTAAATGAATCCGAATAAGTAAAATTTCCGTTGAACTAAATTAAAAAAAAAAAAAAAACTAAAAAATTACAGAAAAAAATTATAAAAAAATCTTTTGAAGCAATCATTAAAAATTATAAGAATTATTTAATTTTTTATTTAATTACAGTATTAATATTAGCACTTTTCTAGCTGGTTTCTCGGCAATGCAATATATATATATATATATATATATATATATATATATATATATATATATATATATATATATATATATATATATATACAACCTTCTGAATTAGGAAAAATGAGGTCGGCATCAGGTTGGCAAAAATCATTTGATACAAAGGTCTGACCATAAAAAATTAAAATGAGGTCGGCAATTTTTTGCCAACCTCAAACACTTTTAGGTCGACAGATAGGTCTGCATTGCCGAATGCCGACCCTAATTCCGAAGGTAGTATATATATGTATATATATATATATATATATATATATATATATATATATATATATATATATATATATATATATATATATATATATATATATATAATAGTATTTACTATTATATATATATAAATATATATATATATATATATATATATATAATAGTAAAAATCTCACTTGGAAATCAGAAGTCAGAAGCAAAAATATTTGCTTCTGATATTTATGCAAACAAAGAATATGCATTAGAATCATCATGAGGTTATCATGGTATAACTCTAAGTAATCATGTAACTTCCAAAAAATGACATAACTTCCAGTAATTATACATTACTAAAAGCATAATTTAATTCATTTCAATTTCATTCTTAATAAAATATAAAAAAAATACTTACTGAATACTTAATTCGATTGGTTTGAGTCCGAACAAAACGTTGAATGACAATGTCAGATGTAAATGTAAAAAATGGTGGCAAGAAGTATTCAAACTCCAAACTAACATTTGACGGTTTTATGAATGTTGGATAAATTTGTAAGTTTAGTGAAGTCAAATTTCTGAAAATAGAGACAAAAAGTTATACTAAATTTAAAAAAGTTAAAAAAAAAAAAAAGTATTTTTTCTTTAAGTTTGTATATAAATTCCAATTAAAAAATAAAGAAAAAAATGCTAATAGAAATTTAAATACTCTTATTTATATTTCAAAATTTTTATTTATTTATTTTAGACCATTCCAAGATGTATCAAATTTTTCAAATTTTAGGGAAACTTTAGTAGTGGTTTAGTAATAAAGCACTTGCTTCATAAGCAAGAAGTTCCGCAACTGATCCTCACCATGTCTCTGTAAGTATAGCATTAACTCATTCCTCCACACATCTTTGTTAGTCAAAAACCATGTTTATGAGTTAAAGGGTTGAGTAAGGCTTGTAACAAGAGACTTGCAACAAGAGATTTGCAACAATAGTTAAAAAATAATTTAAAAAAAAGTAATTATCTCAACTGTAGTGGTCTCCTTAGCTTTGGGGAGATGAATATAGTAAAAAATATAATAATAAAAATAATAAACAAAATTCAAACATACCCTTGCATAGAAACTGTGTTAACAACATTCCACAATGGTGCTAAAATTATTTATACATAAATAATACTAATATTTATATTTTAAAAATTATACTAAAAAAAATATATTTAAACATGTTAGAAAGACTTTAACAATATACTAATGAAAGAAAATGAAGCATTTTAAAAAAATAATCAAAATAAAAACTTCAAATGCTCTAAAGACATTTCATAAAAAATTAAAGCACATCCTTTTTCATGAATTTTCATGACATCAACTTCAGTTTTCATAAACTCAAAGACTTCTGTTAAAAAACCACTTTGGAACTTTAAATTTCTATTAGCATTTTTTTCTTTATCTTCATCATAGGGTACAAAGTGATGTGTATGGTAAATTTAATCGAAGTAAGTTTTCACTTTGACCACATGTAAATTTGAGTTTCAATGCTTTATTTATAGTATCATTTGATCATTTAATAAACTTCATATTTTTTTCTACTTAAGGATATTATTTGATTTTCTTTAAATATTGTTTCAACATGTTTTTTTTTAAAAAAATATGATAATAATGCTGCAAGCATGCCAAGAATCGCACCATGCTTCAAAAACTTGTTTTAATACAAGATTTTTCAGTAGGCAAAGATCTGATCATTAAATCAAAGTTAATATTCTTATTTTTGTATACTTTTTAGAAATTTAAGTTGTTTAATGAGTCCTCTACTTTAAATATTCTCAATTTATCTTTTATTACTGTTCTCTCATAAAAATATTTTATACAATTTATTGCCAAGTTAGCATTTGCCAAAGTTGCTTTTTTTGTAATCTCTGTATTCCTACTTCTGATTTGATTCTTTACTTCTATAATTTCTTATTCATTCTTGTACCGAAAGAGATTGTTATATTTGGGCTGATTCTTACAATAATGCATTATCTCTCTTTTTTTTCCATCTATGAACTCATGTTTTTCTGACTTTATCAATTTACAGATTTTTAAGTCTGTGTCAACCATTTTCTTGCTCTGCAACTGTTTCCTATATAGGATGCAACCTTGCTGGGAATGGATTTGTAATTTAAAAATAATTTAAAATTTCTTTTACTGTATTGTTTCTTACTGATAGCATAAAGCTCTTGGATAACGGCATAAATTTATCAAAATAAAATATTAAATTAAGAAAGGTTTTTTTTTTAATTTTAAACTAAAGGCATTATTTTAATACCATCCAAATAGTAAACCGAAATCTAACTTTTTATATTTTAGGTTTAAAAACCTACAATATAAAAAGGAAAAAATAATAAAAACATTATTTCATTTGAATACAATTGACATTTTTTTATAAAGTAACTTTAGTTTGAAAATTTTAATTTTTTTTTTTAATCGAAATATTTATATATAAATCATACATATATTTAAATATACAAATAACTTTGAAATTAAGCAAAAATAATTTTAAAACTATTTGCTTTTATTATTGGGTTAGTTTTTGATCAATACGTGAATAATTTTTAGAAAAAATTACTAAAATGTTTCAACAAATCAATGCAATATATTAGAGAGGGTTCCTTAAATGAATGCAACATTTTACTTGAGTTTGTATGCAACATTTTATGAAGATCCAAATGATAAATGTAACAGGTAGTACTAAACTAAGCAAGCACCAAAAGTAATAAACCTTATTTCAAAAACAAACTATTATTTAGTTTCATAACTCATCTTCAACAACACCATCATTGCGACGCTTTTGCCAATGCTTAAGCAAATAATGAATACTCTTAGCAAGTAACTCTTTAGGCTGTACCAAAGAAGGTTCTGTTATATGTCATCAAATAACGAACAGAGTTATGATGAAATTAGAATTAAAAAAAAGAATACTATTAACTTTTGTCTTATTATTTATAATTTCAAACCATTTTAAACCACTTCTGTTCAAAAAAAAAATTTTTTCAAGTTATTTTACCTTTATATACATAACATTCTCTAAATTCTGTAGAGCAATCTTCACCCAAATACCTTGTTCTGTTATTAAACCCATATCCATTTGAGGTATTGCAGACTGACCAAGTGTTCCATTGTAACAAAGAACCTACAATTATACATAAAATTTATGCAACTTTTTAAAATTATTATAATACATCTAAAAAATAAGCATTTTAAAAAATATTGCTCGAATTTTAAAAAAACACCATATTTTTTTTTTTGGTTATTTAAAATTTTGTTATATACTAAATACTTTAGTATTAGACCTTTATTAAAATAAATTTAGTTAAATATATAAAGTCACTAAGGCAGGGAAGTGTAGTGTGGCAGGTAAGGAAAGGGTAAAGTAGGGAAGTGTTAAAATAGATTCCAGCTTTAAATCTCTATATTTTTTTAGTGTTTGATGTCCAGTAGCTCTAAAAATGTTAAGTGACTTATGATCTACAATAAAAAAAATGACTTAAAACATTTTTAATTTTTAGCCTAGAGTCCTTTGCAGCCATTATATATATGAACTTCACCATGTCCCTGTTAGTACTGCGCTCAACTTGTTTCTCCGCACAGCGGCCTCATCGATGTTTATGTTTTGGAGTAATAGAGTTGAGAGAGGGTTGTAACCATAAAAAGTAACCTCCTCGGCGGTAGTGGGGAGGTAAATAATGAAAAAAAAAAAAATTTCATCAGCCATAATGCATTTTTGGAGCTTGCGAATACCAAAAACCAGAAAACTATAAACATTTTGTGACTTTCAAATCCAGTCCTTTTTTGAGTCATTTTTGGGACTCTATATCTGTACTAAAGTAAAAAGAAAAATTCTAAACTAAATGACTACAAAAAGTCAATGTACAAAAATATATACTAACTTATTAAACTATAAAGTAAACTATAACTCTACAAAATATATGTTTAAAACAGTTAAAAAAAGAATATTTACTTAATAAAACTGCTTGATTGTTGGCAACAAAAACATTTTTTATTGAGCCATTTTGAGAAACATTCCATGGACTTGAAGCGTATAATACAACATTTTTAAAACTTCGAACTTTTCTGTTGATTGCAGATACAACATATGTGTCGTTTACTTTGATTTTATATGAATAACTTCCATTTATGAAAGTTTGACTGATCTCAATTTTTGACCATTGATTTAGTGGAAGCGAGGAATTAGTGCGAAATATGAAATCAGTACCATTAACCAGAGCTGAAACTTGAAGAACTCCAAGATTATTAAGCCAAACGCCTGGATAACTATTTGTAATATTATTAGTATCAATAAAGAAATGAATAATACTGTTAATATTGCTGTTAAATGAAAATGCCATAAAATCAAATGAAATTAAAAATTCTATATCCAGTATCGGCATTCTGGTGATATTTTTTGCCTTCTTAAGAGGAGTTGGGATGTCCTCTATTACATAGTTAATCATCTGACACGTATCTAAAAAATAATTATATCAGTATATACACGCATAAATATCTAATATTTTTGTACAGATTGTTCTCACACTTAAAATAACAAAATAACAAAATAAAAAAAAAACATGAAAAATATTACACAAGACATAGTAGAAAAAATTTAATTAAAGCCAATGATTATAAAACACTTATATAATCATCGGTAAATAAAAATTAGCATTTATAATTAGTTTTTTCCAGCAACTTTTTAATTAAAGATTTTTAACTGTTTATTAATAATTTTATGCAATTGTCAGAGTTGAGAAATGATGGGATATATTTAATTCCTGGTGTTTTGAATTCTTTTTTTCTGAAGATATTTTTGGCATTTGTTTCGATTTCAGAATATTCATATCCATTTCCAAATAATATGTTGATTAAAAATAATTAAGTCTCATCATTAAGGTATTTTAAAATTGTAATGGTTTATATAATTGTAATGGTTTATATGATTCTGATGGGTTAATAAAAATTCTGATGACCTTAATTGGAGAAATAATTTACTTTATTTTTATTTTTATACTGGTAATAGTGGGACTTTAAAATCATAGTGCAAGATATTTTCAAAAGGTTTAAAAGTGTTTTCACTGTAAAGTTGTAGTTGAAGAAAAAAGTTTAAAAGAAGTTTTATGATCTTTGTTTTATTTAAAAAATCTAAAAGTGGTTGTTTCATAAAATAATGATAAAATACAGCAGTTCACCTTAAAAATCAAAATCTTTTAAAACCATTTTTGTTAGCTATAGAGCACAAATTAGTTTAATGTAAACTCTTTTCTAAAATAAATATTGGTAAACTTGATATCAAAAGCATAAAAGCATTTAACTTCAATTTAAATTCAAAAAACGATATTTTTTTTTAGATTTGCATTTCTTGTAACTTTTCTACTTGGGAGTAAAAATAAGTTTATTAATTATGTAACTATTTTATAACTATTTAATTTGTAACTTTCTTTACAAATAACCTTATCGAAACCAAATTTATTTATCTATTCCTTTGATTCTGACAAAGATTTATAAATTTTAGTAAATTTTCAAAATGGTAAAACGAATTGGATTTCTGCAAGTGATAAACTTGAATTAACTGCCTTTTTTTTCAAACTTTCTATTATGTGTATTGAAACTATGCATTTTGACACCTCTCTCAATTGAATGCTATACTTTTTTTATCATTTTAAATTATTATTATTATTGCTAGTAAATTTTCAGTTCAATGGGAGTTAATTAATTTTTTTTTTATCTTTATTTAGTCGCTTTATTACATTTTCACTTCTCTCTATAACAGAATTGTGTGCATTAACATTCAAAAATCTTTTACAAAAAATAGTCTAGAAAAAGAATTGCAGAGTTGAAATACTTGAGGACTTCCTTTTATTCTCTGGAAAAAAGAATTGCTTTAATTTTGAAGATCTTATGAATTACATTAAACTATGTTTATAATGAATATATCCATTTTTAATAAATTAATTCAAACATATTCAATAAATTCCAGTTGTAAAGCATCAATAATTTAGATTTTGTTCATCAATAAATTTTTTTTTAATTTTAGTTTAAAAACACTTTCTTATTGAAATTAGAATAAAATTTCTCCTTTTTTAACGCAAGTTGAAAATTCTTTATTCCAAATTTGCCTATTTAACAATGCGAGAAAAATTTGACATTACTTGGACAACAAAAACATTTAAAACCTATTGAGACCAGAACCAAGTCAAAAATTGACAAAAGATTGTCAAAAAACTAAAACAATCAGTCTTTCTACATTAACATCTGGGAATTAGCCAAATAAATATTTTTCTAAATAACTTTACAAACGTTATATTAAATGTTTTTAGAAATTCTTAAAATGATAATTAAATTGCATTTATTAAATTTTTTAACAAGATCTCTATGATCTTTTTTCATATACCAAATTAATATTGTTGAACTGGTATGATACGATTAATGATTTTAAAATATGAAAATGAATGAAATTAATTCTAAACTTAAAAATATGGGTTACCCATCTATTGAAAAGGCTACCCTTGCAGTAACCCACAGCTGGTTACCCGGGTGCCCAGGTACTCATTGACAGCCATAAAATGCAGAATACATCATGATTTAGACAGTGTTTTACTTTTTTAAAATAAAAAAAAACATCCAATTCCAAGATCCACTCGGCATAGAAAGACCCAAAGTATCTTAATACTTAAAAAATTCAGTTGTAAGTTGAAGAACAGAACAAACAAAAATATGCTGAAAAAAATCAGTCATGCTGATTAATTATATTTTCTTATAACATTTATTTATATTAACTCGGGCAAATATTCATGAATTATGTTACCATGCTGATTGATTTTATTTTCTTATAACATTTATTTATATTAACTCAGACAAATACTTATAAATTATGTTACCATGCTGATTGATTATATTTTCTTATAACATTTATTTATATTAACTCAGGCAAATATTCATAAATTATGTTACCTTTATATACATAACATTCCAGGAAATCTGTGAAACATTCTTTACCCAAATACCTTGTTCTGTTACTATAGCCATATCCACTGGATGTATTGCAGCTTGACCAGTTGCTCCATTGTAACAGAGAACCTTAAGTTATATATTAAATTTGATCATTTCAGTAACAAATTACTAATTAGGAATATGAAATAAACTCAGGTTAAAACTAACAATCACTGATAAACAGAGTTAACACCTATTAATACAGGTATTACCTAAAACAAATGCTCAGTAATAGAAGTAATTTACTTAAAGAGCATACTGAAAGAGTGGCAATTACTTTTTTTTCTTTAAAAAATAAATACTAATAAACAGAGTTAACACTTGTTGATACAGTTACTACCAAAAAAAATAATCAGAATAATAAAAGAAATTGGATTTTTGCATCTAAAAAGATATCTCTTGAATTGTATAATTATTTTCAAAAGATATTTCTTGATTATTCAAAATATATTATAATCATTTTAAGTAGTTAAAATAATTCTTTGCAAAAATTACAATGTCAAAAAAATTAAATAGAAAAAAAGCAAAAATCTTAAATAAAGTCAACTGTCTACAAACAAAAATCAATTTACAGTCTATAAAATGACACACAATCCTGAAAGTAAACTATTAGCCTACACAATATATGCATTCAAAAGAAGTAAATAAGAACAATACTTGATAAAACTGCTTGATTGTTTGCAACAAAAACATTTTTTATTGAGCCATTTTGAGTAACATTCCATGGATTTGAAGCGTATAATACAACATTTTTAAAACTTCGAACTTGTGTGTTGATTTTAGATGTAACATTTGTGTCGTTTACTTTAATTTGATACACATAACTTCCGTTTATCAAAATTTGACTGATCTCAATTTTTGACCATTCATTTAGTGAAAGTGTCAAATTGGTGTTAAACGTGAAATCAGCGCCATCAATCATAGCTGTAACTTGAAGAACTCCAAGACTGTCAAGCCAGACTCCTGGATAGCCATTTCTAATATCACTAGAATCATTAATGAAATGAAGAATACTGCTTAAATTACTGGTGAATGAATACGGAATAAAATCAAATGAAATTAAAAATTCTCTATCCAGTATTGGAATTTCAGTGATATTTTTTGTTTTCTCTAAAGAAGTTGGGATGTCTTCTATTACATAGTTAATCATCTGACACTTATCTAAAAAATATTAGTTTCAGTTAATACAGGCATTTACATTTATATATTTAAGGTATAAAATATAAACAACAACTAAATATAAAACATAGTATCAACTGAAAGTTTTCTACAAATCTTCCTCACACATTAAATAAAAAATGACAAAAAAATGTAGCAAACATTAATTGAAACTTTAAATAAAACATTAAAAATCAAGTACCTTTGTTTTAAAAATCTTTTTTTAACTTTTTCTATGATTAATTTTATAAACACTTTCAATAGCGAAAACTTTTAGCATGAAAACACATGTTACATAACAACTTAAATTTAAAAGTGTAATAAAAAGCACTGGTTTCTATAAACATTAAAATAACTATTACATTAAAATTTTAAAAAATAAAATTACAAGGGGTTTTAAAAGTTAAAATGTTTGTTTAAAATTTATAAAAAACCATCGGACAAAAAGTAAAAGAAATACTAAATTTAAATTAATAACTAATTGTAATGTTTTAATATAAATAAAAAAAACTGGCTACTTAATTCAAAAAAATGTAATGATTTGGCATCTTTTGAAAAACGAATTAACTTAAAAAAAAAAAGAAATATTATATTAACGTATCTATATTCAACTTCTTTTTTGTTTTGTATAAAAAACTAAAAGTTCAAAAATAAATGCACATAAAATATGGGTCAGACAAAATGACCAATAGATGTCATTTTTTACCGGACAAGAGCTGGACAATGTACAATGTTTGGCGTTTTTTTTGAGCCCATTCTTTTGCTAATATCATTTTTGTAAATTCTCTACAAGATATTAGTCTTTCAGTAATAAAACAGTTTATTTAATTCCAGGTCATAAAATATGCACCACTTGCAGAAAAATATTGCATTGTGGAAAAGACCAGCATGACTAACTTTATAAAAGGCTTTAGAAATGTCTAGAGCAATTACCTTCACCTCTCCACACCAATCTAATGCACAATAAAACCTATCTGTTATAACCGTTAACAAATCAGCAGTAAAAAGAGAAGATTGAAATCCATATTGATGATCAAAAAGTAAGTTATTAAATTCAAGATGAGAGATTAAGTGTTTGTTAATTAAAGACTCAAAAACTTTGCTTACAATAGTAAGAAGACTAATGGGACAGCGGTTAGATGAGTCAGACAGATCTCTACAATTTTTGAGAATAGGAATAATACAAGCAGCTTTCCAGCAGGAAGGAAAACAAGACTATAATAAGCAATTGTTAAATAGATTCAAAAGTATAGCTCCAGAGAACACTAATGCAAAACTATAACAGGTATGTTGACCGGACAACAAGCTGTAGAAGAGTCTAAGCAGAAAAACACTTTAGATACAGAAGCTGGAGTAATACAAATTTCAAACAATAAATCAATCTATTTGTTGGCAATATCAGGTAGGATGTGATAAATGGAATCAAGAGATAAAATTGATGAAAAGTTCTTAACAATTCAGCTTTGTTTTTAGGTGAGGTAATAAAATCTGAACCATGCAAGGAAGAGGAATGATTGATTTGCCCTTATTATAGACACTGGTAAAGATTCTCCAGAAGTCTCTGGAACCTAAACTTTAAAATGGAATACGAAATTTTGTGACCTGAGAATAATGGCCTTCAGAGTTAGACAAAACCTTTTAAATTGGTATCTAGAATTAGCAAACAGATGTCTAAATTCTAGAGAATTGTTTTGGTGATAAATATGAAAATAATGGTTATGACTGGAAATTTAGAATCATCGAGAAGAAATGAGAGATTCCATGCAAGCCTGAACCTAAGAAGTTACATATGAATGTTATTTGTTAACAGGAAGATGAAAGATTTCTACTCAAGGTTCATCACAAAAGAAAATTACAGAAAGAGCTTTAAGGTAGTTGAAAAGGTACAATGATAGGGGAATTTCGATGATAAAGAAGAATATGAAAATAGTTTTAGAGAGATCAAACTGTGATATGAAGCACCTTAGGGTAAATGTGAATAACTAAGTACTGACATGGCTCAGAAGTAAGGCATAAGTTGATTATAGAAAGTAAATAATTCGAAGTGTCTGTAAAGCCAGTTGGAAGGTTGACTAATTGTTAATTAAGTTTTTGTTAATTAATTGTTGTTTAATTTTTTGTTAATTAATTGTTAAATGATGTTAATTAATTAAGAAAGGTAAAAGTTGTGGGCCATAACACCTACAGAGTCACTGACACTAGAGCCAAGCTATTCAGTGTGATGAGCAGTAAAGTCACCAACAACAACGATATTAGCTGAAGGATAAAGAGAAAAGGCCTGGCCAAGATCAAGATCAAGGCCTGATCAAGAATAATTTCCAAAAGAGTGCAGTCTTGAGATGAGGGAGAGTGAACTGAGAAATAAGGTAAACTGGTGCTAAACAAAAGCACATTAAATAATAGTCTTTGGGTTCAAACCAAACCAAACAAATGGGAGAATTCTTATGAAAGTAAATGTCCAGGCTAAGCATGTGACTATTGGAGTCTTTACAAATTAAAGAAAGATAACCATCAACACTAAGATCACAAGATGAGACACTTGAACTCAAATTAGTCTCGAAAAGAGCAAGAAGGTCTGATAAACTTTGCAAGAGATTCAACAGAAAAAAAGGTCCAAAAACCACTAATATTAGAGAATAAACGATTTAAAGAACTTGGTGATATAGTTTTTTTTGCAGAGTTTCTTAAATACTTTTTTTTGATTTGAAAATTGATATAAAAAGTCAACTTGTTTAAAAGCTATTAGCTTTTAAAAACAATAAAAACAACTTTATTGTTTAAACACGGAATTTTTTTTCTGAATAACACACAACTCAAACAGCGTTTCCTCATGAACCACATTAAATAATGATCTTAAATTTCAGAGGTAAATTTTTTTCATACACATCTATATACAAAATTAAAAGGTTACAGCAAAGCCCAAGATCCATTTGGCATAGAATGACCCTGTTTCTAAATACTTAAAAAAGGATCTGCATACAATGTCTGAGTTTAATTACAGAACAAACAAAAATATACTGAAAAAAAGTCTGTCATAATGATTTTTTTATTTTCTTATAATTGTTATTTATATTAACAGACAAGTATTCATGCATTGTTTTACCTTTATATACATAACATTCTTGGAAATCTGTGAAACATTCTTTACTCAAATATCTTGTTCTGTTACTATAGCCATATCCACTGGATGTATTGCAGCTTGACCAGTTGCTCCATTGAAACAAAGAACCTACAATAAAACATTAAATTTGGTCATTCCAATAAATAACTACTAATTTAGAATAGGAAAAAATGTCAGGTTAAGACTAACATATGATAAACACTGAGTTAACACTAGTTAATTCAGCTATTATCAAAAATAAATGTTCAGTAATGTATCTTATGCATACTAATACAGTGGCAACAACTTATTTTCTTAAAAACACTTTTTTTATATCCATTCATTGAACAATGAATTTTTGAAAAACCTCTTTTGCAATCTTTACAATGTCAAAAAATAAAAATAAAAAGTAAGCTCAAGTCTCAAATAATGACCATTAAACAGTCAACAACAATCAATTTACAGTCTACAAAATGACACAGAATCCAAAAAGTAAATTTTTAGCCTACACAGTACATGCATTCAAAAGAACTAAATAAGAACATTACTCAATAAAACTGCTTGATTGTTGGCAATAAAAACGTTTTTTATTGAGCCATTTTGAGAAACGTTCCATGGATTTGAAGCGTATAATACAACATTTTTAAAACTTCGAACTTGTGTGTTGATTTTAGATGCAACAATTGTGTCATTTACTTTGATTTGATATGCATAACTTCCGTTTACCAAAATTTGACTGATCTCAATTTTTGACCATTCATTTAGTGAAAGTGTCAAACTGGTGTTAAACGTGAAATCAGCGCCATCAATCATAGCTGTAACTTGAAGAACTCCACGACTGTCAAGCCATACTCCTGGATAACCAGTACCATTAGAATCATTAATGAAATGAATAATACTACTTAAGTCACTACTCAATGAATACGGAATGAAATCAAATGAAATTAAAAACTCTTTATCCAGTATTGGCATTGCAGTGATATTTCTTGTTTTCTCTAAAGCAGTTGGAATGTCCTCTATTACATAGTTAATCATCTGACATGCATCTAAAAAATATTTATATCAGTTAACAGATGTATATACATTTATATATTTAAGGTATAGAGCTTAAACAACAACTGCATATCAACTAAGTTTTTTCTTTGTAACATTTTAATCTGTTTTCTACAGATCACCCTCACACGTTAAATACAAAAATTACAATAAAAAAAGTTGCCAACTTTTTTTAAAACTTCAAAAAAAAAAAAACATTAAAAATCAAGTACACACTAATTTAAAATACAACATACACAAATTTTTGATTATTATTTCGAATAAGTTTTTATGCAGATGCCTTCATCTGTTCAAGATTTTAATAATTCAATAATTAACCTAATTATTTTAATTAATTTTAATAATTCAATAATTAATCACAGATTTTTTCCAATTATCCGGCTTCAATGACTATCCAGTTATCTCATACTGAAAATTTAAATTATTCAGATATATCTGGGTATCCTGCCAGATATTTTATTTAAACCTATTTTATTTTAAAAAATCCATATTTAAAAAAAATTATTACATTTAAAGTTGTAAAATTTAAGCTAGCTTTAATTTTTGTCCTAAATAGATTCACAATCAAAAAAACATCCTTTGTTTCTTTTTTTATAATCTTTTTTTTCACTTAACATGAACTCTTCCTCAATTTTCTTTGTCATCTAAGGGACACATTAAAATTTCTTTTATATGGAAATTTGCTTCTAAACTGCTTGCAGGTTTGTTTTTTATTAAAAGGTATTCTTTATTTATAGAAAAATGTTTCTTTGCTTAAAATCGGCTAATATTGCATTTGTGAGTTGGTATCTTTTTTTAAAATCTTTTTTTAATACTTACTTGAAAAAATTTTTTTTTAAATAAACTTGAAAAATATAACTTACAACATAATTTTGTCTAATATTAATATAAAAATATATTACATATAAGGAAGGACGAGAGTGGCAATGCAAATGAAATATTAGTACGGTATTTGTATGTTATTTTACTTTTATATAAAAAATTTTTATCCTTTAAAAAAATTCCGCACCTTTAATCCAGGAGGCTTATTAAGCGCGAACTGGCATAAGTGCAAACTAGCATAAGTGCGAGGTGTTGCAAAAACTGGCACAAGTGCAAAGTGACATAAGTGTGAATTTTAATAAGTTGCATTATGCCAATATTTGCAATTTTATTCAGCGCACTTATGCATGTTCGCACTTATCACATTTCGCACTTATGCCAATGTTTGCAAATTCTTTTGGCTCACTTATGTCAATTCGCACTTATGCCAGTTCGCTTTTGAGCCAGTTTTTGTAACTGCTTCGCACTTATGCCAGTTTGCATTTATGTCAATTCGCATATATGCCAGTTCGTACTTATGCCATTTGCACTAATGCCAGTTCGCACTTATGAAACTCGCGCTTATTCAGTTGTCCCTTTTAATCAGGATATACTCTGTTTCTTTAATAAGGATAAAAATCTCAACTTATTTTCAAATGTCTTGACATTGCCATATATCGTGACTCTCTGTAAAGACTAAAAAGAAGAAAATAAAATATAGCAATTACATTTGCTAAAAAATTAAATATTTTATAATCTTTTCTTTCACTTATATAATTTTTTTCCTTAACTTTTTTTGTCTTCCATGACGCTCTAAAAAAAAAAATTTTTATAGAGAAATTTGCTACTAAATTATTGGTCGGTTAGTTTATAATAGAATTAATTATTAAACAACAAACCTTTTCATTTTTAAAATAGGCTAATATTGCTTTTGGGTTTGTAATTTTTTTTTTAATTTACTTTGTTCTCTTTTAAAAATTTTTTTTTTTTTTTTTAAATTGGCTAAGATTGCTTGTAGGTTTGTATTCCTTTTTAAATCTTTTTTTAAATACTTTTTTTTGTAATCTTTTAAAAGAAACATATTCTGCTCCTTTTATCAGCATATACAACGTATCTTTATGGTAAAAAGCTCGACTTAACTACACATGTCTAGATAAACGCATTGCTCAATATTGCAACTCTCTGTAAAGACTAAAAAGTAGAAAATAAAATATATCAAAAACATTTGCTAAAAATATAATCTTTTTGTACTAAAAATTAGAAAATAAACTTTTTAATTTAAATTTAATAGTTCCGTAAACTAAAGATTGACAGGTATGTTTCTAAATAAATATTGCACAGGTATGTTTCTAAATAAACATTGTGCAGACCTGTCAATCTTTAGTTTACGGAACTATTAAATTTAAATTAAAAAGTTTATTTTCTACTTTTTAGTACAAAAAGATTACATTTTTAGCAAATGTTTTTGCTATATTTTATTTTATAACTTCACTTTCAACAAGGCTGCAAGCAATTACTTTTAGAGTTGGAAGCTAAGTTTGAGGAAAAAAACTAGATAAATAAGAATATCTGAAACACTTAGGAACAGTCACAGTAAAAAGACGAGACTTAATTGAATGATGACTAACAAAAGAATGAATTTAAGAGGATGGCACAAGAGATGTCAGCTCTTTAGAGCAGTGCCTTTTATAGTAATTATAGGAAAGAGAAAGTAAAGCAACGTTATGACAGTGATCAAAGTTGGAGGTTGGCTTCAAGAGCAGGTTCAACTATGTTTATAATGCGTTTTTGCACATTGTCTAAAAGAGAAAGAGCATCATTAGAAGATCCATCCCAGATAAGGCAACAGTGTTTCATACAAGGACAGATTTGAGATTTATAGAGAGTAAGAATTGAATCTTGAGTAAGAAAGTGGCGGCCACGATAAAGAGATGCAACCGTAGCAGGAGCTAACTTTGCAATTGATTTGATATATGGTTTCTAAGAAAGATCAAAAGTAATAGTTAAAAAACAAAGGGTAGATGACTCTTTGAAAACATTGCCCTTCATAAATAAAGGAAGATCTAGACTATTGCGATAACGATTAGCCAAAAAAAATTAAGTTTTATCTGAGTTAAAGTTTACCATCCACTGAGAGCTCCATGCTGTAGCAGAAGTGAGGTCTTTTTGAAGGGGGCTCAATGCCCCCATCAAGCAATCAGAGAGTGTTGTCATCTTATCTTCATAAGACAAGAATAAATGATAGTATCATTAGCAAACAATGCCATCTTGGATGTAAAAATTTCTGGGAGATCATTAACGATATTAAAAAAAGTATAGACCCGAGGATAAAACCTTGAGTAACACCTAAAGTTACAGTATATGAAGAAGAGTATTCTATTATTGAAGAGTATTCTTCTATTGAGGACTACTTTTATACTCCAATACATAAGGATAGATAAGAAGAGAACTTATGGAAAAGACCAGCATGACAAACATTATCAAAAGCTTTAGAAACATCCAGAGCAATAGTCTTCACCTTACCTCATCTTTCTAATGCACAATAAAACCTATCAGTTATTACCAATAACAAATCAGCAGAAACGAGATCAAAATCCACAATAATGATAAGAAAGTAAGTTATTAGATTCAAGATAAGAAATGAAGTGTTTGTGAATTAAAGAAAAACATTGCTTATGATAGTAAGAAGACTAATGGGATGGTATTCAGAAGTCAGATGGCACTCCAGAATTTTTGAAAATAGAGATCACAGATGCTGCTTTCCAGCAGGCTAGAAAACAAGACTTTGATAAGCACTTATTAAAGAATTTTGAAATTATGGGCAACAACTCCAAAGAACACTTCTGGAAGACTCTAACAGGTATGTTGTCCGGACTACAAGCTGTAGAAGAGTCTAAGCAAAAATCACTTTTAAAACAGAAGTTGGAAGGATATGAATTTCAAGCAATCGTTCAATCTGTTTGTTAGTTATATCAGGTAGGATGTGATTAGTGGAGTCATGAGATGAGATTGATGAAAAGTTCTTAGCAAACAATTCAGCTTTGTAATTCGGTGAGGTAAAAAATCTGAACCATGCAAGGAGGAAGAATTAGATTTTGATTGAATTAGATTTAGATTTGCCTTTATTACACTGACACTGGTAAAGATTCTCCAGAAGTCTAAGCTGCCTAACTTTTGAGATGAAATAGGAAATTTTCTGTTCTAATAAAAACGGGCTTTGGCATTTGAAAAAACTTTTTAAATGGTTTTCAGCAATAGTAAACAGACCTTTATTTTCTAGAGAACTGTTTTGGCAATAAATATGGAAGTAATGGCTACAATTGAAAATTACAGCAGCACATTGAGAAGAAAACCATGGAGAAGAGTAAGGCTTGACGTAAAATTGTCAAGAAAGAAGAAAAGATTTTATGCCAGCCTAAATCCAAGAAGTTATGTAAGAAGCACATTTGTCAGCGGGAAGACAAAAGATTTCTACCCAAGGGCCATCACTAAGAGAATCACAGAAAGAGCCCCAGTAAGCTTTACAGTAATTATAAGAGGCACAAAGATAAGGAGATATTGATGATGAAGAAGAATGAGATAATAGTTTTAAAGAGATCAAACCGTGATCAGAAGCACCTAAGGGTAAATTATAAGAGATAAGACTCAATAGAAAAAAAAGTTACTTCGAAGACCATGAATAATAGTAAATGATAGATTTAGAGAACTTGGTGATGACAATCAGTTTTATAGTTTTTTGTACTTTTATCATTTTTAAATTTGATAAAAAACTAGAAACAAACACAAAAATTAAAAAAAGGCAAGAAGCTAACTCCGACTTAAAACTCCTCCTGCCTTGGGGTCACTATTTAATAGCCCAAGCAATTTCCTAATTACTAATAATAAATCCTAAGCCATAACAAAGGGCTCCAAATGTACCCTTGACAATGCACATTAAAAGTGCAAACAGGGACATCATCCATGCACATGCTCTTTTATTATACAGCTGTTGATGAAATTTCTGAGAACTATTACAGAATTTGAGAAATCTGATTGCCAACCGGCCTCAGAATCATAGAACTGAGTTTTAGATCTGTACCCTTTTTAAGAGATAATAGAAAGAACTGCCAAGTCATAAAAACAGAGTCACAAGCAAAAAAGATCCAGCATTCAACATCCTTAACTGGAAACAATGTATTATAATTACATCTAC